TCATTAATGAGAAACTTCATTGTCTTTTTTTTTTTGTACTAAGTTTTCAGTATCTTGGGTGTATTTTTTACTTTGAACAGCCACATTTCAAGTGCTTAATAGCCACATGTGACTAGTAGCTCCCAAACTGGACAGTACAGGTCTAGGTTATCCTTTCAAAGTAGATTGTATATTTAAGTTGTCTTTGGATCGCACATTCTCTCCCCAGAACGTTTTCCTTCATAAGAGTTTTTGTTTTCATAAGTATTTTTAAATTCTTCATTAGACTTTTAAGAAAACAGGTTTACTGATATTAATTTACATATCATAAAATTCACTCATTTAAAGTGTACATTTCAATGGTTTTTGGTATATTTACAAAGTTGTACAATCATCACTATAATCAAATTATAGTACATTTTTATCACCACAGGAAGAAATGTTGTACCTATTAAGCAGTCATTCCCTGTTCCTCTTTCCCTTGCTATCCTTGCCCCTGTTCTTCCTCCAATCCCTGGCATCCACTGATCTGTTTCTAGATTTGCCTATTCTGGACATTTCGTGTAATTAGGATCCCACAGTATGTGGTCTTTTGTGACTGGCTTCTTTCACTTAGCATAATGTTTTTAAGGCTCATTCATATGGTAGCATGTATCAGGACTTAATTCCTTTTCATTTCTGAAGAATAGTTTATTGAATGGATATCCCACATTTTGTTTATTCATCAGTTGATGAACATTTGGGTTGTTTCCTTTTTTTTTTTTTTTTTTGGCTATTATGAATAATGCCACAATGAATGTGTACATTATAATGGTTTTGTGTGGAGGTATATTTCCATTTCTTTTAACTTATGCATGGAAGTGGCATTAACAGGGTCATACAGTAACTCTGTGTCTTTTTTAGAAATTGCTAAACTACTTTTCAAAGCACCTACACCATTTTACATTCTCACAGTGTGTTACAATTCCATTTTCTCCACATCCTTACCAATATTTGTGATTCTCCTTTTTTTTTTTTTTTTTTAGTGGCTTACAACAGCACTCCTTTATAAGCTCACAGTTCTGTAGATCAGACTCTTAAAGTGACTGGGCTGGGTTCTATGCTTAAGGATATCACAGGGCCCAAATTAAGGTTCTAGACAGGTTGAACTATCTGTGGAGGCTCTGGGAAAGAATCCACTTCCAGGCTTATTCAGGTTGTTAGCAGAATTCAGATCCTTGTTGTAGGACCAAGGTCCCCATTTCCTTGCTAGTTGTTGGCTAAAACTTGGTGTCAGCAACTAAACGCCTCTCTCTGGTCCTTGCACCAGATAGACTCCCTCTCTCTGCAAAGCCAGCAGTGGCACATCATATCCTTCTCATGGTTCACATTTCTGACCTTCTCTTCCGCCACCAGGCAGGGAAAGCTCTCTACTTTTAACGGCTCATGAAATTAGATCAGATCCACCTGAATAATGTTTCTATCTTACGGTCAGCGCTAAATATCATATGATTTCACTTATGTGGAATCTGAAAAACAAAACAAATGAACAAACAAAAACAGAAACAGACCCATAAATGGAGAGAACAGCTGGTGGTTGCCAGAGAGGAGGGGAAATGAGGGGAGTAGGCAAAATGGGGGAAGGGGAGTGGGAGGTATAGGCTTCTGGTTATGGAATGAGTAAGTCATGGGGATGAAAGGTACAGTACAGGGAATGTACTCAATGGTATTGTAATAGTATGGTGACAAATGGTAGTTGCACTTGTGGTAAGCAAGTAAAAAAAAAGTATAGACTTGTCGAATCACTGTGTTGTACACCTGAAACTAATGTAACATTGTCAACTATACTTCAGTTAAATAAATAAATAATCCACAGAACTTGTGAATATGATGAGATCACGCTTGTGATTGTCTTTTTGGTTGTAGCCATTCTCTTGATATCTTGCAGTTTTCATTTGCATTTCCCTAAGGAATAGTAATGTTGAGTATCTTTTCACATACTTATTAGCCATTCATATATCTTCAGAGAAATGTCTTTTCAAATCTTTGCTCATTTTTTAGTTGGGTTCTTTTTAATCTTGTTGAGTTGTAGGTTCTAAATACAAATCCTTATCAGATATGATCTGCATATTTTTCTTCAAGTTTGTAGGTTGTCTTTTCACTTTCTTGATAGCATCTTGAGAAACATGCATATTTTTATTTTTGATGAAATCCTGTTTATCAGATAAATCTTCTATTGTTTGTGCCTTTGGTGGCTTATCTGAGAAGTCATTGCCTAATCCTAGATCACAAAGATTTATTCCTGTGTTTTGAGTTTGAAGTTTTAGCTCATATTTGCATTCATCTTTGTGGTGTGAGGTAGGGGTCTAAATTTATTTTTCTGCATGTGGCTATCCAGTCATCCCAGCCTCATTTGTTGAATCTCATCAGACTTGAATTAGCATGTTTATTTTTTGTTGCATATAATTAGTAAGTGTATTGGTCCATAATTAGGGAGCTTTTACTGGACTGCATTGCCTTATTAGAAAGATGAGGATAGGGGTGCCTGGGTGGCTCAGTCGTTAAGCGTCTGCCTTTGGCTCAGGTCATGATCTCAGAGTCCTGGGATCGAGTCCGGCATCGGGCTCCCTGCTCCTTGGGAGCCTGCTTCTCCCTCTGCCTTTCTCTCTCGCTCTGTCTCTCATGAATAAAAAAAAAAAAAAAGTTTGTGACATTTCCATGACCTAGTCGTAGAAGTCACATATAGTCACTTCTGCTGTACTTACTGGTAGAGACCATCACAAAGGCCCACCTAGGTTCTAGGGTAAGGGACATGAACACTGCCTCTTTTGGGGGCCATTTCTGGGAAATTTAATCTATCACATGTTATGTAATATTTCTTTCCAAGAAATCCTTTGGAAAAATCAATTTAATATTTAGAAATTAATAGGGGAAGGCCAGAATTAAGTTAAAATGTCATCTACGCAAGAAACTTTCTCAATTTATTTTCAACTGTCTCTATTAAGAATTAACTGAAACTTTGGATGTTCTAAATATATAGTTAATTTTGCAAATAGGGGGAAACCCCATCATGAATTACACAGTTAACAAAATGCAGTTATTCTCAAGGACCCAGTGTATTCATAGCTACATTTTATTAGAGCAAAGGATCCAAAGCAAAATCAGCAAAGGGAAAAGGCACGTGGGGCAAAATCCAGAGGAAACCAGCACAAACTTCCAAGTGTCTTCTCCCAGTAGACTCACATAGAATGTGCTTACTTCCTCCAGCAACAAATTGTGACAACATATGTGAAATTTGGGGGCACCTGGGTGGCTCAGTTGGTTAAGCCTCTGCCTTCTGCTCGGGTCATGATCTAAGAGTCCTGGGATCAAGCCCCACATGGGTTCTCCGCTCATGGGGGAGTCTGCTTAGCCCTCTCCCTCTGCCACTTCTCCCCCCCCTTGTGCTCTCTCCCTCCCTCTCTCTGCCTCAAATAAATAAATAAAATCTTAAAAAAAAAAAAAAAAGTAAAATTCTGTCTACCGGGGGGAAGCTCATTGAAGACTCAACACCCTCAGTTTTTGTTGGGGCCTTGTCATATAAGCACTCTCTAGCTAGGACTTACCAAGATTCCAGACTCCCAGAAGGAAAGCTGGTTGTTAGCATAAACCATATTATTAAACAGTTTAGGCACAGTGAGCCACTCTTATCAGATAGAGTGGTGGGGACCCTCCCAAAATTCAAGTTCCTAATCATTAGCCAAAGGCCAATTTTGCAGGCAGATAGGCCTGCTATGTTAATGCTTTTCTGTACCTGCACTTAAAAATATATATATGTTCCCAAATCTTCAGTTGCTCTTGGTTGACCCTTCAATGTGTAGATTTCTGAGTAAACTCAGTGGTTAAAGAAAAATTTATAGATATAAATAAGATACAACTTGGCCATTATGGTTTTTTTTTTTAAGATTTTATTTATTTGACAGAGAGAGACACAGCAAGAGAGGGAACACAAGCAGGGGGAGTGGGAGAGGGAGAAGCAGCCTTCTCGCGGAGCAGGGAGCCCGATGCAGGCCTCGATTCCAGGACCCTGGGATCATGACCTGAGCCTGAGCCGAAGGCAGACGCTTAACGACTGAGCCACCCAGGCACCCCGGCCATTATGTTCAAAACCAAGACCAAATATTGGTTTCTGTTAAAACTTTAAAACTTCCTGATAGTATGGAGCTAGAACTTTAAACATAATACAAATAGGTGGATTATAATTACAGAAATGAATATGTGTTGATAACTTTCCACCACCTTCTTCCTGAAGTGTACATCTTTGGAGAAGCAAGGCAAAATAGCATATTAAGAACATGAGTTCTGAAGCCAGACTAATGGAATCCTGGCTCCCCACCCTCTATCTGTCTCAATTTTCTCATATGTCCAGTAGGAAAAATAATAGTATCTACTTTATCGAGTTGTTGGTGGAATAATTAATGCAAAATATTTGTCAGGCAGTTAAGTGCTAATTCCTATGTCATTGCATGGATCAGTGATTACATTTACTTAAACAAAAATCAAACCATCTATTGAGAAAAGTATAATTCTGGGGCCTGCAGCCAGAACATGGGAAATAGTGTCTCTTCCAAGATTTTAAGGGTATATGATTCTTACACCTTTAAAATGCAGTGAGAGTTTGGGAGTTGTGGGTAGTTGGCATAATTTACTATGAAATTAAACCCAGAAATATTCAGGGTCTTCAATCCTAAATTAGTATATCTGCTGTTAATAGTTGATACTGATATACCTACACAGTTCCATAAGATATTCATAATGAATTTAATTAAACTGCCTATATAAAAAAACAATTGCCATGCTGTTGGTGGTGGTAGTTGTGTAGCCATTGATAGAATTACGTTTGGCTAGCAATGTACAGATGGAATTATAATCTCAATAGAAACCGAGAAATAGTTTTCTAACATTGTTACTAGTAGAATAAGCTTTCATAATAGGGAAGAAAGTACACAAGGACTTACTTAAATAAAAGAATGAAGTTAATATTTTTAACATTTTTCCTTAAGGACCAGTGTAATGCGGAGAAGCACGCAGATGGAATTATAGTAAGTTTAATCTAATCTTTTTGTTTCCCTTTACTTCTGCAGAGCATTATAACCAGTCATGTCAGGAGAAGCCTGAACTTCTACTCATTTTTCAACACAAATTCCTCTTTTTCACCTACTCACTGCTTTTTGTTGTTGACTCTTGCAATTTTCCTTAAGCTTCTAAAATTGGCCATCTTTCAGTAATCATTTGCAGGGAAAATGTTAAAATTTTTCTAAGTGTTGGTTCAGATTGAATCACTTTGCATGTGTTAACATGAAGGGTTAATCATGGTGTGAAAATACAGCTTTTATGACTAAGGCATAACTCACAATGCTACATTTCTTGTCAAACTTTTTTTCTCAGATGAAAGCAGAAGGGGAGGGATTCAATATTGAAACATATCTTAATCTATTTAATATTGTGTATTGGTTTCTATTTTTTAGATTTTGTGTGTTAACTATCATTGCTACTGTGGTATATACTGTGTTTTTTTTTTTTTTTTTTTAAAGATTTTATTTATTTATTTGAGACAGAGAGAATGAGAGAGAGCACATGAGAGGGGGGAGGGTCAGAGGGAGAAGCAGACTCCCTGCCGAGCAGGGAGCCCGATGCGGGACTCCATCCAGGGACTCCAGGATCATGACCTGAGCCAAAGGCAGTCGCTTAACTAACTGAGCCACCCAGGCGCCCCTATACTGTGTTTTTATTAGAACAAATTGCAGCATGAATTCTTTCATTTACAGCCATTTTCTTATTCTTTCCTCCTCCTCAGCTTTTTACTCTTCCCTTAGATTCAACTTCTCCTTTAAAAAGAAAAGAAAATTTTATTGTTGGTGTTTCCCATCTGGAAATAAAAGTTAGAATTTGAAGATTTGTAGTTGAAGTGACCCTGTTTTTATGGTAAACTGAGTGACTTCTGTTTAGACTGTATTTCTAAAGCAGGAGGCAGCCCCTTTTTTTGTCCCAAGACTTTAAAGATGCCACCTTGTCTGAGATCTGGAAACTTCAAAATCTTCAAAACCATCTCATGATTATACTTGAAAGGATAAGCATGTTATCTTTGTATTTGGTTTAAAATGAAAAAAAGTTAAATATCGATGTTGTTTGCATATTTCTTAAGAAGCCAGAGATAAGAGAAGCATTTTTAGAATTTGGATTAAAGACGTTGGAATTTTTATCTGTCTTTTCACAGTGCGAGTTCAGAATTTGAGCCATGGTGATAATACAATTATGTGATCTGAATACAATGTAATATAATGTAGTATCTCTTCCTGAGCTATCAGTTAAGATTGTAAACCTCATGGAAAAGGATTATATATGTTGTCTAGCATGTCATGGTCTCCAAAGATCCTAAGGAAAATCATGTTGGCAATTATTTTTATCTCTCTTTCCTCAAAACAAAATTAGTTACTTTTTATTATGTTAAAAAATCGGCAGTTTTATAAAGCATACCAAAAATGTTTGGTCATTTGCAATTAAAAACATCTAGAAAGTTTACACTTACAAAAAATCTAAACCTGTAGAAAACAACCATACTTGAATCATTTGATCAGGACTATAGCATTTTTCCTTAAGAGTTTTTATTTTTTTAAAAAGAAAGGAAGCGTTCATGATTTAAATCTTATATCCACACAGCTAGAACCTGGCTCTGCTACTCAATAGCTGTGATCTTAGGCAGGTTATTTGACCTTTGAGCCTTAGTTTCCTCAACTTTAAAGAAAGGTGGCTAGATCTACCTCAGAACATTGTTGTAAGGTACAGGATGAGCACAGAATCAATAAATGGTAGTTATACATAAATGCATGCATATATCATTTATATTTTGCAGAATGTTATTAATGGTACAACTGTGGTTAGAGCTAAGGATTATCATTTATTTGTGCTTCTGAAGTTCTGCATATTCATTTTCAAAGCAAGGTGTAGAATGTAATTTGACATATTTTAGCCTGAAATTGATTGAACAAAGACTGTAGATAAGTATGGAGTAGTTATATTTTCTATTAACAACAAGCAGCAAAAGATATCTGGTACTTTATTTATTTATTTATTTATTTATTTTTTTTTTTTAAAGATTTTATTTATTTATTTGAGAGAGAGAGAATGAGAGACAGCATGAGAGGGAGGAGGGTCAGAGGGAGAAGCAGACTCCCTGCTGAGCAGGAAGCCCAATGCGGGACTTGATCCCGGGACTCCAGGATCATGACCTGAGCCGAAGGCAGTCGCTTAACCAACTGAGCCACCCAGGCGCCCCGATATCTGGTACTTTAAATATACATGCAAAAATCTAAAAGATTAGACAAGCTTAATCTTCAGAACATTTCATCTGGAAAACAAAAGATTACATTCAAAAGATAGAATTCTACTGGTCCCTTTTTCCGAAGTTATTTCTTATTCTCTTCAGTAATTTTTCTTATATAAAAGGTAAGGATAAGGAGGTGACATACTCTCCTTCCCATGGATCAATATTAATGGTGGGATTTTGCCTTTGTAAAGCACTTGGAGTTCTTTGGAGAAAACCATTAGGTAAAAACAAGGAATTTATTCTAAGAACAGCTGCAGGACTTGTTGAGACATTTGTTTAGTTATCATATCCTGGTCCAGTATCTAAAGATAGAATCATAAAGTAATAACCAAAAAGCCCCTAGAGAACATATAATCCAGACATTTCTTATTTTACAGACTGGGAAAGTGAGGACCACAGTAGATAAAAGACTTGCCAAATCCTTGGTAGAATAAGGATTCTAAGGAATTAAAATTCCTAGTCTGTCTTATCTGTGCTCTTCCCAGTACTTCAAAACCTTCCCTACTTCATTTTATTAGGGTTTTTATTATTAGTGATTGTTTTCAGGGTCTCTTCTCGAAGTGTCCTTTATTTTCCTGTTAAAATATTTATAGTCAGTAGACTACCGTCGTGACGAGCATCAGAATTCTTGTGCTCAAATCAGTTGATTTAAGAGATCTGATTTAGGGGCGCCTGGGTGGCTCAGTCATTGGGCATCTGCCTTTGGCTCGGGTTGTGGTCCCGGGGTCCTGTGATCGAGCCCCACGTCGGTCTCCCTGCCAGCAGGAAGCCTGCTTCTCCCTCTCCCACTCCCCCTGCTTGTGTTCCCTCTCTCGCTGTGTCGTCTCTCTCTGTCAAATAAATAAATAAAATCTTAAAAAAAAAAAAAAAGATCCGATTTAGCGATTTTTAATATTTATGCAGAGAGGGGCTTTAAGAAAAAAAATTTTGAATTAAATGAGAATGCTATAAAAACTTTCCCCTTAACTCAGTTTCCATTGCTAGGGGCTTCTAAATTTTTATGAGTACTTTTGGGGCTCATTCATCAGTAAAGTATTTCTCTTCTAAATCTGTTTCAGTATTTTCTGTTATAAGCCTCCCCAAATATATATTTGAAGTTTTCTGGATCAAGGAAAACTCTATAAAGAACTGAAAATTTTATTTCTTGGGTTTTATGCTGGTATAGTGTTCGAAATGATCTAAACTTTACTCTGGCAAAGACCTTAGTTTAAAGCTACCCTCCTCCAAGTAAAAAAGCATCAGTAGGGGCGCCTGGGTGGCTCAGTCGTTAAGTGTCTGCCTTCGGCTCAGGTCACGATCCCGGGGTCCTGGGATCGAGCCCCATGTCGGGCTCCCTGCCCCGCGGGAAGCCTGCTTCTCCCTCTCCTGCTCCCCCTGCTTGTGTTCCCTCTCTTGCTGTGTCTCTCTCTGTCAAATAAATAAATAAAATCTTTAAAAAAAAAAAAATCAGTAAACTGTGGAGTCTTGTTTTTATTTTTATTTATTTTTAAAGATTTTATTTATTTATTGACAGAGAGTCAGCGAGAGAGGGAACACACAAGCAGGGGGAGCGGGAGAGGGAGAAGCAGGCTTCCCGCGGAGTAGGGAGCGCGACGTGGGGGTCGATCCCAGCACCCTGGGATCGTGACCTGAGCCAAAGGCAGATGCTTAACAACTGAGCCACCCAGGCGCCCCTGGAGTCTTGTTTTTAAAAATGTCCTCATGCTGGCAGAATAAGTTCTTGGCTTGAAATCAGAAAGACCTAGACTTTTTTCTCTCTAAAATTGTAACTACATATTTGTTTCTTCTAAATCCTCAAAAAGAAAGCCGCCTTCCCTGCATCCCCCAATTAGAAGATACATCTCTTTGCCTTTAGTGACTGTAAAACTAGGTGCCTGTACATTGTGTACACAGTGATAGAAGGTGGCAGTAGTATGAGATGGAAAGATAAAATCCTAGTGGTGCAGGTATATTTACCAGTTGTAGTAATGTTTAGTAACACCAAAGTAAAAGAGAGCATTTCTCTCTATCTTCGATAGAGAAACATTATTTGTGGTGAATTGAGAATTAAGGGAATTGAGAAGTTACTATTTTGGATTCCCGAAATTTTCCCACACCATTTTATAACTCTTTGCAGGTTTTTCCATTTAGCTTTATCTTTCTATATGACAAATTCTTTGATTTTCCCTCCTTACTATGTTGTTTTTTAAGAAACTCTTAGACTTCTGTATCATAAATGAATTTCATTTCCTCTTTGCATTTTGATCAGCATATCTATATAGCTACCCTCAGGACTTTGCCGTCAGAAATGTGGGCATTTCATACATTTGGGAGGGTCAGCAATGGAAGGGCATTTAATTAAAAATAACTATACTGTGTTTCTTTATCTCAGAGTACTATTAATCCTGTAGATGCAATATATCAACCTAGTCCCTTGGAACCTGTGATCAACACAATGCCTACCCAGACTGTCTTACCTCCAGGTATGATATTTGCAAAAATGTTTCAGATTTATTGATTAGAAAAAACTTAATTTGTGTAGCCATCATAGTAATCTTTAAGGGCTCGTTTTTGGTTTTGTTGTTGTTTTGTTTGTTTTATTTTTAAGATTTTATTTATTTATTTGGCAAAGAGAGTGAGAGAGCACAAGCAGGGGCAGCACAGAGGGAGAGGGAGAAGCAGGCTCCCTACCAAGCAGGTAGCCCAATGTGGGGCTCAATCCTAAGACCTTGGGATCATGACCTGAGCTGAAAGCAGACGCTTAACCAACTGAGGCACCCAGGTGCTCCTGGTTTTGTTTTTTAATAAGTAAAAGGAATCACAAAAAAATGGTACAGCAGAAAATGCACTGGAAAAAGATGATAATATTTTTGGTATTGGGGATTTTTTAATACAATGAAAGAGCTTTTGGTTTTCAAAGTGAGATGGAAGGAAAAGGTTACTGAGAGTTGGATTAACTGGTGGGACAGAATCCTATGACCCTGGATTCATGCTACCAAAGAAAGCTTAATATACATTGACCTACTTGAAGGTAATCCAGGAACTTTCTATTTTGGGGTATTTTTTATAGCTATGAAGAATACAAATGGTTTCTTCTTCATGGTGGACCCTAAGGTAATGGAAGGGAAGGGTGAAATTTGTGATGCCTACAGATTAGAAAGACCTATTTTTAAGTATAGAGTAATCTGTAGGTTTTTTTGTTTTGTTTTTGTTTTGTTTTGTTTTTTAACTAGCAAAGGAAGGTTTAGGGACAACACCCATGTATACGAATTCCTTTTACCTTTTGTTGCATCCAACATTTCTGTTTTCTCGATGACGTAGTTAAGTCAGAAATTGTAACAAAAAAATCCCTTTAAAAATACTTAAAAGTATGTGAAATCCTTTTGTGAATTTTGATTCCTTAAGAGAATGAGCTTAGTATCTAGTGGGACTAAAGAGGAAGTACTACTGTGCCCCGTTTTATTTTTTTTAAGATTTATTTATTTATTGGTGAGAGAGAGTGCACGAGCGCAAAGCAGGGGCAACGGCAGGCAAAGGGAGAAGCAGGCTCCCTGCTGAGCAAGGAGCCCAAAAGGGACTTGATCCCAGGACTCTGGGATCATGACCTGAGCTGAAGGCAGACGCATAATCTACTGAGTCACCCAGGAATCCCTAAAGATTTATTTATTTTAGAGAGAGAGCATGTGCGTGTGCACAAGAGGGAGAGGAGAAGAATCTCAAGGAGACTCCCTGCTGTGCGTAGAGCCCCAGTGCAGGGCTCGATTCCATGACCCTGAGACCAGACCTGAGCCGAAATCAAGAGTGGGACGCTCAACCAACTGAGCCACCCAGACGCCCCATGTTCCCCATTTTAAAATGACTTAGGTGGTTTGATGCTTAGAAAGACTTTATCATCAGAAGTGTTTGCTAGTTTTATAGAGCATTTTTACTGAGGTTTTGGCCTACCTTGACTAGTCTCTTGATGTCCTGCCTGATGTCTTAGTACTTGGTAGCATATCACCATTGAGTTTAAAGGGGATAGAAGGTCTGGAAGAAGGAGTAGCATGGAACTTGACTTAATGGAAGACAGTTTCAAAAATTACTGATCTTTACTATTTTGAATTCCACACAATTGCAGTTAACACAGTTGTATTTGGCTTTTTTCCTAACTTATTTCATATGTTCAAATCTTCTAGAACCTGCTCAGTTATGTAAGTCAGAGCAGCGTCCATCTTCCCTACCAGTTGGACCTGTATTAGCTACCTTGGGACATCATCAGACTCCAACACCAAATAGTACAGGTACAGATTTATGTAATTTCTTTAATTCTCATAACTCCCCATTAACATTTAAGATTTGTGTTTGATTGCTGATGGGAAAAGGGATGAAATGTGTTATGTATTTGTGTTGAAGATATCATAGTTCTACTGTCATTCTATACATGAAGTGGTTAACTTTGTCATAGAGCCAGAAGCTTTAGTAATAATTCTATATATTTTTAAAGATTTTATTTATTTATTTGACATGGGGTGGGGGGAGAGCAAGCACAGGCAGAGGGAGAAGCAGGCTCCCCGCTGAGCAAGGAGCCTGATGTGGGGCTTCATCCCGGGACTCTGGGATCACAACCCGAGCTGAAGGCAGCTGCTTAACCGACTGAGCCACCCAGGTGCCCCAGTAATAATTACATTTTAAATAAGATAAAATATTGCAGGATTTTGTTTACCTTAAGAAAAGATTTATTTTGAAGATCTGTATTGTCTTTTTAAAGAAATTTGCTGGAGTCAAACTTGCATACTTCTATTATTATTATTTTTAAAGATGTTATTTATTTATTTGACAGAGAGAGACACAGCGAGAGAGGGAACACAAGCAGGGGAATGGGAGAGGGAGAAGCAGGCTTCCCGCTGCGCAGGGAGCCCGATGCGGGGCTCGATCCCAGGACCCTGGGATCATGACCTGAGCCGAAGGCAGACGCTTAACCAACTGAGCCACCCAGGCGCCCCTACTTTTATTATTGTAAAGGAATGAGACAGTACAAAAGTATGGAGAACAAAAGCTGAAAGTTCTCTTTATTCTTCCCTCTGTCATTTGCATGTGTTTACATGTATTTGTATGCATATATGTACAAATATACCTATGTGTATTTTTTTAATTAAAAACTTTATTTTAAATATTTTTATTTATTTGAGAAAGAGGTGGGGGGAGAGAGAGAGAGGCACAAACGGGGAGGGGCAGAGGGAGAAGCAGACTCTGTACTGAGCAGGGAAACCCAATGTGGGGCTCGATCCCAGGACCCTGGGATCATGACCTGAGCCAAAAGCAGCCGATTAACCGACTGAGCCACCCAAGCACTCCAGATTTTTTTTTTTTTAGTATAGTTAACAATGTTATATTTGTTTCGGGTGACAAGTTTATACATTATGCTATGTCCCCCCAAGTGTGTAGCTACCATCTGTCCTGTTACATCTCTGTTATAATATCATTGACTATATTCCCTATGCTGTGCCTTTTGTTCCTGTGATCTATTCATTCCATAATTGGAATCCTGTATTGCCCTCTCCCCTTCACCATTTTGCTCAACCCTCTACCCCTCTCCTGTCTGGCAACCATCATTTTGTTCTCTGTATTGTAGGCCTGATTCTGCTTTTTGTTTATTCATTTGTGGGTTTGTTTTTTAAGATTCCACTTATGGTGGAATCATGTGGTATTTGTCTTTCTCAGTTAGGCTTATTTCACTTAGCATAATACCCTCTAGGTTCATCCATGTTGTCTCAAATGGCACAGTCTCATCCTTTTTATGGCTAATATTCCTGTGTGTGTGTGTGTGTGTGTGTGTGTGTACCACATTTTCTTTTATTATTCACCTGTTGATGGACACTTAGGTTGCTTCCATATCTTGGCTATTGTAAATAATGCTGTAGTAAGCATAGAGGTACGTATATCTTTTTGAATTAGTGTTTCTAACATGTCATTTTGACTTTAGCCATTGTCTGGTATAAGGTGCTATCTCATTTGTGGTTTTGATTTGCATTTTGGTGATTCGTGATGTTGAGCAACTCTTCATCTGTCTGTTGGCCATCTGTACTTCTTTGGAAAAATGTTTATTCAGGCCTCTGCTCCTCCCCCCTTTTTTTTCTCTCTCTCTCTCTTTTTTTTTTTTAATAGTCCTCTGCCCCTTTTTAAATCAGATTATTCTTTTGGTATTGAGTTATATAAGTTCTTTATATATTTTGAATATTAACCCCTCATTGGATATATCATTTGCAAATATTTTCTCCCATTCTCTAGGGTGTCTTTTTTGTTTTGTCAGTAGCTTCCTTCGCTGTGCAAAAGCTTTTTATTTTGATGTAGTCCCAATCATTTATTTTTGCTTTTGTTTGCCTTGCCTCAGGAGACACATCTAGAAAAATGTGCTACAACCGATGTCAGAGAAATTCCTGCCTGTGCTCTCTTCTAGGATTTTTATGGTTTCAAGTCTCACATTTAGATCTTCAGTCCATTTTTTAGTGTATTTTCGTGTATAGTGTTAGAAAGTGGTCCAGTTTCATTCTTTTACATGCAGCTGTCCAGTTTTCCCAGCACCATTTATTGGAGAGACTGTCTTTTCCCCATTGTATATTCTTGCTTCCTTTGTCACAGGTTAAGTGTTCTTGCCTTCTTTGTCATGGATTGACTATATAATCGTGGATTTTTTGGGGGGGTATCCATTCTGTTCCACTGATCTGTGTGTTTGTTTTTATGGCAGTACCATACTATTTTGATTTCTACAGCTTTGTAGTATATTTTGAAATCTGGTGTTGTAATACCTTCACTTTATTCTTCTTTCTCAGGACTGCTTTGGGTATTGGGTATTTCTGTGGTTCTGTACAAATTTTAGTACTATTTGTTCCAGTTTTGTGAAAATATATTGTGTATTCTTACTGTTGTTTTAACCTGAATGACATCATGTGTTTCTGTGACTTTCTCTTTTCATTTAACAGAGAATGTTTAGAGAGCTTTCCGTGTTTATACTATTAGGTCTACAATGTTCTTTTTATGGCTACCTGAGCACATATTACCTGTTTTTCTGCTGATGGACATTTAGACTGTTTTCAGGATTTTTCTTTTACAAGCAGTACTTCAGTGAAAGTCCTTGTACAGCCACTTTTGGCACATACATTTTTTTAAGGTTAGATTTATCATTCTTTCACATTTTTGTCATTTTACAAGCAAAAAAGGATACTTCATTTTAATTTGTATTCTCTTTATTTAGACTTACGGTCTTTATTTTTTCTGTAATTCACAAGCATGCTATCAATGTTAGTATTAGATTATTTCTTGTTTTAAAACTGATTAGTTTTACGTTGAGATACTTGTTGAACCAAACTCAAAGGAGAACTTCGTGCTTTTGTCCCTGTTATACCTTGGGGAAGTAGGAGGGAAGCCCCTCCTTGTTGCTTCACAGATTTCTTTCCTGGACAGGACTTTTCCTCCTGTCCTGTAATGAAAATTACCTTGTGACTTTAGCCCATTTTGAAATTTGAATTAATAAAGATGTGATGTTGTTACTTTGTTCTTTAATATTTAACAGTATGGTCAGCTGTCTTCTCAATTTTGAAAGAAAGAAAGCAAAAATAGCTCTTATTTGAAGCTCTTGGGAAAATGCTGACAAGTAATTTGAATAATGAGGTTGAAATGCTTGGCTGACTTTTTTCTGTATTTCATTGCTTGTATCACCTTTTGTTCATTTTAAAAACAGTACCTGTGTTTTCTTTTGTTTATTTGTTTTTTAATACGAAAGGATACTCCAGGGACACTTGGATGGCTCAGTCAGTCAAGCGTCTGACTGTTGATTTCGGCTCAGGTCCTGATCTCAGGATCTTGAGACAGAGCCCTGCATTGGGCTCATGTGGTCGGTGTGGAGCCTGCTTAAGATCCCTCTGCCTCTCCTTCTTTCTCTCTCTTTCTCTCAAAAAAAAAAAAAAAGAAAAAAGGATACTCTGGTTTCTCTTTAGTTGTATAAATCTTTCACCTGTTACTATAAGAAGGGATTATGTCACAGTTTGGAAACACAGCCAAAATTGTCTATTTGGAGATACATAAAATTAGTTACAAACTTTGAAAAAGTGAGTACTCTTCTTATGTACATTTAGGATAATTATAATAAATAATGTAGGATATAAATTATTTCAGAAGATACTTTTGAAATATAGCATTTTAGAGTAGGTAGATTAAAGAAGTTTTAGAAATGAGATTAACATGATTTAGTCTTGATTTTTTTCAACCTAATTTCTTCTTCTTTAACTCTCTCCCTAATACAAAAAAGAAATAAGGTAACAACTGAGAAAAGCATAATAGTTTGTTCTTACAAAGAAAACTCTGTTCTTCTGTTTGCAATTCCCAAACTCATTTTCTTCTTGGACACATTTTTAATTGTGTGATCATCTGGAGTGTTTGCATGTTAATCATTTTTAATTCCTGGTTGGTTTGGGGGCTTTTTTTTTTTTTATTATTATTATTATCTATTTCAGTAAGAGAAACTCTCTTTCCCATCTTACTGCCACTATTGCAGGGGGTGGGGGAGGGAGAATTTAGTTATTTGCTAAGATGAACTATTTTTGGAATTTCCACAGTAAGATTACCTTTTTTGGTGGCAAACTTTTCTGTTATGTTTTTAAAAAATCTTTGTGAACGTGGCAACTAAATGTGGCAGGTGAATGTGCTTCTTCTCTAACTATTGAACCATAGACACAAGAATGGGGTAAAGGTCCATGGGTGACTCTGGATTCATTTTTGTTGCTGCTGTTTCTCAACTTCCAGAACTGTGGCCTTGGCTTTTAGATTGCCAGCATTGACTTAATTAAATTTAATCTCTGCCAGGCATCTGTAGCAGTTTGGCATAAATTGCCTGAGAGCTTGTAGGTAGATGCTCTGTAAACACTTACTGAATCAATCTCAGTAGTCCTCCATTTTTTGATACTTTTATTGTTTTGTTGCTAGACAATGAATCATGATCACAGAGATTAGATAATAGTTTTTCTGTGGATCTCTGTTAATTTCCATTTCCTTAGACTGCTTAGGTTATAGAAAGATGTTCTTTCTAGTCCTTTCCTTTTCCATATTCTTCCCATAGTAGATCTCTGTTTTTCTCTGCCCCTGACCCCCAGGCACCTGACTTTGACTTAGGTGGAAAAGAAGTAAGGAGTTTGGATGGCGAGTGCTAGGGCTTTGTGTGGTGCTTTTGTGTTTCATGTGACATAATGACTAATGTGAATGTGATATCCTGGACGATATTTTAACTTTCATGTGGTCTTTGATATTCTTTCCATTATGCATTCTTATTGTGTCACTACTGCATTTTTTAAATATCTGGATCTACAGTATAAAATAGGACCCCTGGCTTTCCACTGGTGGTGTATCTGTTGTGGGACTTCTGGCCCCAGAACTCACACACTGTGTTTACAATCGAAAGAGCTCCCTTTCTATTTATAGATAATTATAAATGGGAACATAGCTGTTTTTCATTTAAAAGTCTGTGTCCCATTCTATAACGTGATTTGGTTTTTCTTTGTCTATTTTAAGTGTTGATTTTCTTTACAGAGAGTGTACCAACTTAACTTTTCTTAATTTTAGAAAAGTCTGTTTTGACTCCATCTCCCTAATTTTTTTCCCTCTATTACCAACATTGTCTCCTAATTTAAAATGTTTTCATTTCCTAGGCAGTGGGCACTCACCACCTAGTAGCAGTTTGACTTCTCCAAGCCATGTCAACTTGTCTCCAAATACTGTCCCCGAGTTCTCTTATTCTAGCAGTGAAGACGAATTCTATGATGCTGATGAATTCCATCAAAGTGGCTCATCCCCAAAGCGCTTAATAGAGTAAGTAAATAAACTATGTATTTAAATGACTCTTTTGATTTTAAAAATTAATTTGATTTTGAGACTGGTGTGATTGACGGACTCCCTTATAATAAAGCTTCTTATTGATTGGCTTATTGAGCAAAGCGAGTTCTGTGAGAATGTTGATTTTACTTTTGACTTAATTCAAATGGAATAAATTAGCATTAGCTAAAGTAATATGCCAGTATTAATTGAACTCCTGGTATTATTTCCATAGCTCCAACATTAGGAGAGGGGCAAATGAGAGTGAGAAAGCTAGGAAGTATTATACAAATAAGAGGGCACCGTTACTTGTTTTACATTAGAGTGGACATACTCAACACCTATAAGCCAGGCACTATACTAGTGGAGGAATGATCCAGAGGTGAAAAAAGACCCAGTTCCTGCCTTCAGGGAACTTGCTGTTTGTTGGGAGAACAAACAGACATAATCCAATGGGATATATGCTAAGCACAGAAAGCCATGAGAGCATTTTGAGGTCCTTAGAAGTGAGGGAAGGATTTACAGAGGAGGGATGGGGTGTGATCCTAAGGTAAGAATGTGAGTAGGGAGAAGGGACATGGCAGTAAGAAGGGGAAAATGGAAATGTTTTCTTGGAGATAGAACCCTATTAAGGCAGTCCTATAGACAAAGGGAGGGGAGTTGGGTTTCTTTGGGGGAGCTGTAAGTTGTTGAGTTTGTAGTGTAAGTTGTTTAAAAAAAAAAAGATACAGAAGGGGTTGACAGGGGCCAGGTCGTCTAAGACTCCTTTAGCCTTTTATGAATTTTGGACATTTTCTCACAAAAAATAGTAGTTGCTGGTCAGGTCTGCATTTTAGAAAAATAGACTTGCCTAGATTGTGTATAGAATTGAATGAAGTGGGGCTGCATTACAGGTAGGGAGATCAGTCTAAACCGGGTAGTTAATTGAGAAATGTTGATAGCCTTAGGTAAGGTAATAGCATGGGAATGAGGGAAGCATGTGGATTCCAGAGATACTAATAAGCAGGAAGATTTCGATAGATATTGATGATAGATTTTCCCTCATTAGAAAATATTTGACCTGTTTTATACCATTGAAAAAGCTAGGTATATTCCATTGCACAGACAAAGCTTTATATGTGTAAAGTCATTTACCTGATAGCTGATAAGCAAAATACACCCTACTGGTATATAGGTTGCTATGGTTTAGACTTTGGATTTTGGAATCTCAGAAAGAATAGGTTCTAAATCTGGTTTGCTTCAAAGGTATGTGATCTTGGGGTGCCTGGCTGGCTCAGTTGGCAGAGCATGCAATTCTTGGTCCTTGGGACTCTGAGTTCCAGCCCCACATTGGATGTAGAGATTACTTACAACAACAACAACAACAAAAAGCAGGGGTGCCTGGGTGGCTCAGTCAGTTAAGCGGCTGCCTTCGGCTCAGGTCATGATCCCGAGGTCCTTGGATTGAGCCCCACGTTGGGCTCCCTGATCAGTGGGGAGCCCGCTTCTTCCTCTCCCTCTACTGCTCCCCCTGCTTGTGTGCACTGGCTCTCTCTCAAATAAATAAATAAAATCTTTTTTTTTTTTAAGATTTTTATT